TTGTGTTTGAAGTCTAGCAAGTCAAAATCGAAATCCTCGATGTTTCCTTTGGGTGAGAAACCGTTAGGGAAAAACACTTTTTGCGCAGCTTCAATCAGTTCTTGTTTCATCGCAGATTTCTCCACTGTCAGTTTCCTAGTTCCTCCCCCTTTTTTGCTACGTACTTGCACAATTTTGTTTCCATCTTCATGTAGCCAACCCATTTCAATATTTCTGGTCGACTTTTCTGAATTGTATTTAATTTTTTTCTTTGTGTGTACCACAGATTCCTCATCATTTTTATTTCCCCTAAATATTTGGCTTCTAATTTTTTCCAGTAGTGATTGTTTAGAAGCTTCTTGTTTCGATGTACTTGGTGCTCGCATCAAACAAAACTCTCTAACCAACTTCCTGTGCCCATAAGCTGGTAAAAATGTTTTTAGTTCTGTATCGGACATCATATTTATAACTTCTTCAGAAATCTGAACAAAAAAAAACATTTGTTAGAATAAATTTGTGGGGAGGAAGATAGTAGGTGAATGACTCTGATATTTTAAATGCTAATGCATATAGATTCAACAAGTCCCTAACTTTTTAAATGTATCCATAAGCATTAGCTTATTAATCTAATACAAACCTGTTCTGCAATAATATTTTGAACAACTTCCTCTGGCACATTATGCCGTTTCAAGAAATCTTCTAATTCCGACATTTTTTCTCAAACCACGTAAAATGCAGATCGTACAACTGAAACTAAGTTAGGTGCTTAATGTGCGTTCCAACTGAATTATGGGTTTTGTTTTGTGTTTTGTTCAATTCAGTGGCTGTTAAACATAAAATTTTGTTTCGTAAGCAAAGTTAAAGCTGTATGATTATGTCGCCACTTGGTTTGTTACTCACTAGTGGTTAAAGGAGACAGTATTGTTCAATCGCATTACTGCGACGTGTGTGAGACGAAATGTGACACACCATATGATACGATCGTCGATCGTCCTCCAACTTTAAGTTTCGACCCTATTGGTTGGTTCACGAAGATAACTTATTAGATAGCCATCTCCAACTAAACTTCAAGAAAACCAATTCGCGAATCCACCATTTGTGCTCAATACCATCACCGAACACAAAACAAAATAAAATGTAAATAGAAGTAACTAGAATTAGTATAATATTTAGGGTAGGTGTAGGTACCTACGTATGATTTTACAAACATTAAGATTAATAACTAAAATTATAGTACATTCTTCAACGAGCGTAGAATAGAAGCTATTATTCACGTGGATGAAGTTCCAAGTGAATAATAGCCATTCTAGGCAAGTAGAAGACTATACTTCCTTTACGACTATTAAAAAATTAAAAGAAATTAGTTACGTTTTTGACGTTTCAAATGGTGACTTATGCGGTTGCTAAGATACGCTCCGTCAGTTTTTTCCAAAGCGATGTGATTATTGCATATTACCGTGAATTCTGAAAAATAAAAGCATGTGATTGGCTAATCGAGCGTGATTTCTTACAAAGAAATCACGCTGTGAAGAATTTAAACTATTATTCAATGTAATATGCAGCAAGAATCAGGGCATTATTTAATAGTCGTAGAGAAAATAATTATTATTACCTACATTGCTACCTACCTGCCTACTACATACAAACAGATGGCACAAAATAAACTCAAAATGTAAGTATAACAACCGGCTCGAACGCTGGAATCTCTTGATCACGTCTCGTTGTTCAGGACGCACACACAAATGAAAAAGTCAATATAGTGAGAAAAATCTCAATATATTGAGAAAAATGCCAATATATTGAGAAAAATCTCGATATATTGAGAAAAATCTCGATATATTGAGAAACATCTCAATATATTGAGAAAAATCTCAATATATTGAGAAAAAAGTCAATATATTGAGATTTTTAAAAGAAAAAAAGTTGGTGACACCAGGAAGCTTCCTTGGTTGTCCACCAACTTTTTATTTTCTTTTAAAAATCTCAAGTATATTGACTTTTTTTCTCAATATATTGAGATTTTTCTCAATATATCGAGATTTTTCTCAATATATTAGCATTTTTCTCAATATATCGAGATTTTTCTCAATATATCGAGATTTTTCTCAATATATCGAGATTTTTCTCAATATATTGACTTTTTTCTGTGTCCTTTTGTTTAATCCAGCTGCGGTGATATGATGAATGTTATTTCCGTGTAGATGTGGTTAGCGTTAGAGTGAAGTGAATTCATTGCGTTTGACGCATTTATTAATCTGTTTTACTGCACTCAATAATTAAGTGATCGTGAGCTAGTAGCTGTACTGTCGAGCCATCCATTTCTTGTATATCAGGTAGGTATAAATTTATGTAGAGGTACACAATATGTGCAGCATTATGATCAAATAAGTATGTACTATACAGAATGACTGAGGACAAAGCTATATAAATCTAATGTACCTACTTATTTTTGCGTTTTTCTATAGGTAGGTAGGGTGTTTCCTAATACATTGACTGATTTTTTTAGAAGGTACAATGGATGATGCTGAGGTTCATGCCGTTTATTATTTTTTGCTGGGATTATCGTACACAGAAATATTGGCGATGTTGAGCTTTTGCCATGGTTTTCACTTAAGTTTGTCGACACTAAAACGAAAACTAAATTGCCTAGGACTATATAGAAAGAAGCACTTCTCAGAGCTACATTTAGTTGTAAATTTTATTGAACAACAACTACAAAGTTCAGGACAGCTGCATGGATACCGGTGGATGCACTTAAAATGTATTCAACACGGACTCACTGTAACTAGGGAAGCTGTACGAATGATAATAAATGAGCTGGATCCAATTGGAGTCACGTTTAGAACAAGAAAAAGACTGCGCCGCAGGAAATATTCAACGCGTGGACCTAACTTCGTATGGCACGTTGATTCTTATGATAAATTGAAGCCATATGGAATAGCTATAAATGGAGCTATTGACGGATTCTCTCGGCATATTATGTGGTTGAAAGCTGGCAGAACTGCAAGTGACCCGAAGGTAATAGGAGGGTACTTTTTGGAAGCCATAGAAAAATATGGAGGATGCCCAAGACGGCTACGTTCAGACCTTGGCACGGAAAATAGGTACATGGAGCAATTTCAAATATTTTTTAGAACATTGCCCGCAGATAATACGGATGTGTGTTATGGAGACCGAAGTTTTTTGTATGGGACCAGTCAGGCGAACCAACGCATAGAGTCGTGGTGGTCGATATTAAGGAAACAAAACGCTCAGTTTTGGATGAACATTTTTCAATCACTAAAAGAAGACGGTTACTTCAGTGGAACGTATTTGGACAAATCATTAATACGATTTTGTTTCATGGCTATAATACAAGTAAGTAAAGGGTGATACATTAGAACTAATTCTAATGAATTACCCGTTATAAAGTGTCAAAAGAAAAAAAAGATTCATCTAAATTCGTGAAATGAGTTATGAGGTATGATCAAGCATTCTGGGAAGGCCGTGGAAATTTTAGATGACATCTAATATGAACCAATATTAGGTAATTAATTTAACACCTCGCGCTAAATGTTAACATTAAAAATTAACTAATCTCTCTCTCTCTCTCTCTCTCTCTCTCTCCCCCCCCCCCCCCCCCCCCCGGCCAACTCTAGTTACCGAGTTATAGATCATACCTTATAACAACAAGAGAGAACACAGTAGAAAATGAATACCTACTTTCCTTATTATTGAATTAGATACCTACCTACTCATATGTTTCTTTTTAGAAAGAACTTGCACAAGTTGAATTGGAATGGAATACACATCGTATAGCAGCGTCACGAAATTCCATATCCCCCAAAGGTCGGCCTATTGTGTTGTTTGAATTGCCACAAGCGTATTATACACAGACCTACATATGCCAAGTGACCCACCATGATTTGAATATCTGTAAGCAAGAATCCTCATTTCTGTACTTACCCTGTGACGTCCATGTATACCAACTGTGTAAATTAATAATGCGAGAGAAAAATTTGCGTGAACCATCAGATTCGTATGAAGCAGTGAATTTATACCTTACATTAAGGGAAGAGATTATGTCCCAGATTTTATAGTTTGTAAGAAAACATATTTTTTTGTCAAAATGCCACATTCTGTGTGGAATAGATTCAAGATTGTATTAATTTCATCATTCTCTGGGCTTATGTGTAAAAGAATGATAATCGTTTTTGAAATCTGCTTTATAAATATATAATTCTTAATGAATTTAGTATGTTTGTCTACTTCGTCCCTAGATTTAATCAACCAACAACTCTTCTACGGATACTTTGTAACACATGATAATCTTGGAAAACATTAGTACAGATGTCATAGTACCCTGCACAAGTTTTAACGTGGTACATGTCCCCAGAAAAGTTCCATAGGTAGTTATGTATGTAAGAAAATCAAAGTTCTTTTTTGAAAGTTGTTATACAATGTCCTTTAAGGTTCAGAGTACGATAGAAAGTCCAACATATTGTTACGATCGAATATCGAGCGCTACACTTGTACGGCAGATAACGATTTACTCTGTATGGAGCCACTTAATAACAAGTGTTGGACATACGACCCTGGAGAACACCTTACAATAACAATTATTAACAACATAAATAAATTGATGAATTAATTAATGTGCTTGCTTAAATTAAATGCATTTGGGCATTGAAAAACTTCCTCTATGATTTGGTCAAGGAGAAATTTAACAAATTCTAATGGATAACTAATTGCATTACGTTAACAAACATAAAACAACAATAATAACCATAATTGTTTATTTTTATTTTAAGGCACAACATTTAGGCATCTGTCACAAATAAGAGAAACTTAAAACTCAAAACAGAAAACGAAAAACTAGGTAGGTTACATAATTTTGTAAACATAATAAATAAATATGACACAAAAATAGAAACGGAAATGTATGATACATTGCTACATGGAATACCTATAATTTGTGATTGAAGTAGTACTCGTCAAACATATTTTGTAGGTAGGTATGTATTACAACAATACAAAATAAAAATTGCAACAAAAAATAAAATAATACATATTATACCTACCTATTGCTAAGACATATGTAGGTATAAATATGAACAGTCATATACCTATATATTTTTATTAAACAATATCCATTACCCATACATTTGATTGCAGGATATTTGTCATCTCACTTCTAAAAACTACAAAATTTTCGTAACTTGAGGGCAATTCTAACAACCCAGAACATGTATGCCCTATTGGAACCCGCCCAAAGCCAGTTGTGTTAATAATTGATACATAAATGTCTCTTGTAGGTAAATCAGACCCGGTACAAAATCTGAAAAAGGCCGAACGTGTACTATCATCAACTTCTTTTATAAATTTTTTCAAATATCCATATATTTCTGTTATTTGTGGCGTAGTTTCGTTTGCATTTTGTAAATGAATTTTTGCCAAACAGTTTTTTGAGGATGGTTTTATGTTGTTAAATAGAGCCATAATTTCAGAGGTGCTAATCCTACTGTGCGTTTGGAATACTTGTCCGAAGCATTTAATAACAAAAGCGGGCTTTTGAATGAGCTCTTTGTGGGCAATGTCCCTTAAGAATAAATTAATATTGGTTTTTGTGGGAATCCATTTTGCATCATAATTGGAGAAAATGTCTAAGAGTTCATCACTGTCCACATTATCGAAGTCCAACAATGCTTGCCGGAGAATTTCCCTTTCAGATTCGCAAACAAAATGCAAGAAATTTTGTATTAGATCTTCATCTTGTATCGCACATCCCAAACAACTCAGAATAAAAACAGGAGCTATTTTTATTGGAATATAACTTTCTGTAGTAAAACCTTTTAAGAATATACTTGCAATCGCTTTCCACTGAGTTTCATTAAAATCGTGTCGCAAATACGGAATTTTCAGATTGGTTCCTACAGAACACTTCTCATAAAAACTGGACCAAAATTCTGAAAGTGTATCTCGGAAAACTCCTCCAACATCCTCTGCGTATTCTGTTTCTCCGTTTGGAAGAATCATTTCAATTTTTAGAGCACAAGAATAATGAAACGTGTGCTTCTGAAAAGCTTCTATCAGTTCCTCAAATATTTTGCCTCTGTGTAGTGTTAACGTTTGAATATTATCTGTTTGCTGAAATTGGTTTTCTGCATTTAGATCTTCAAGGTTTGGACGGTTTCTATCAAGAACATTTGTAGTATAATTCTGTACACTGGTAGAAGTACTCTGAATAGCAGGCAATTGTGCTGACATTGTAGTTGTTTCTAAGAATCGTTCATTTGGATGTATGTCAAAATGTGGATTATTAAATAATTCCTGCAAACCTGGCTCCGAAGCAGACTCCAAATCAAATATAACCACATCATTTGTGGTAATGGCATCCTAAAGAAATTACAATTTACATTATAACTATTCTACAACACTGAAGTAATAGATTTTGCAATAATAAAAGTTCGCTCTAAAAATAATGTGAATTGCAGCACTCACTTTATTAGTTTCGACTCGTGGTACAAACTTTCGCACTCGTGCTAAATGTACACATACATAAGTCTGTCCTTATTGCAAAATATATTATTTCGATTTTGCAACTATAAAAATAATCAAATATGACCATTTTAGTGTTAGCACATTAGTAAACGAGCCCTACATATATTTAGTGTGTCATCTATTTGATTGTTATATAGTTATTTACCTCTTGTAGTATGTCAAGATCTTCATCTAGAAAATTTGAATAAAATCGGGCAGTTTCAGCTGCCACCACTACTTCTGAGGCCTCTGCAGTTGACTGTTCGATGACGTCTTTTTCTGCGGCTAAAATATAACAAGTTAAAAATTCATTATGCAAACATAAATGACGAGAGCGTATTTTCCTCTTAAAAATATTAATTATAAATTTTAAATTTCATTTAAATGCTTCCGTAAATAAGAAAGTTGGCGCTGCGCATGTGCAAAACGAAATTTTTAAATTGGTGTTAGTGGCATTGCGCATGCGCGAAACGAAGAATTGAAATTGGTGTTAGATTTTCTTTTATTCAAAGTGCCTATGTATCAAATTTCATTTAAATACGTCCGTAAATAAGAAAGTTGGCATTGCGCATGCGCCAAACGAAATTTTGAAATGGCTCACTGGTTAGTGCATTGGGCTACAAAGCCGGAGGTCGGGTGTTGGAACCTGGGCTGAGGTAAGAATTTTTCATCTGTGGCAGAGATGAAAATTTCCTTAGATCAGTTTCGAGCATTCTGCCGGCTACTCCGAATTAGGTTTTCATGCAGTTTTCTTAATTCGTAAGGAGTAGTAGAAAACAACTCAAGACCTTCTGCAGGGTCACCTCTAATAGCATTAATGCGGGTCACTCTGTAATTGGGCGCAAGCCTGTTGAGGACGCAAAACTAAACAAAGTTTGGGAAGGACTTGAATATGTGCCGTGAGACAAATTGTGTTCACATTAAACATTTGCAGGTAAATATGATTGCATTGCTTTTTCAGTTGACCTATAAATAATAATATTGAGTTCATTAACATTTAAAAACACTCAGGTTAACCAAATAGATAATATTGCTTGAAACATGGCTTCTGTCAAACATAAAATTACCTACAGTTGTCAAATAAAGATATAGCGTAATTAGTCGGTACGTATATTGGGCACCCTTTGTCCAGAATTTGTGGCTACGTCTCGCCTCAGCTGCAAATTCTGGACTCAACACAAAAAGATTTCGTTATTATGACTAAACATTTCAGTCCCGTTTGACAAACGACTGATAGTCGGTCCTGATGATCAGTCCTGATGGGATAGAGTCATTGTTTTAAGTTACTTTTTCTACAATCGATATCCAAAGTAGGCATTTGCGCTCGTATTTGACAACGCAAACGTCATCTTTTCTGATGAATGTCACTTTGTCGCATATAAGCGACTAAATGAAAAAAACGCACGCTCCCCAATTATTAACTATAAATCAAATATGCATTGCTCAGAGTATCCAATGACAACGAGTAAATGTCATCTGTACTTTTAATTTTCATTCATCAAATTGAATACATTTTTGGAAATATGCGAACTGCTCTATTGTAGAAAAAATCTTGTGTGTAATTCGAGCGCAAATTGATAGTCGATTTCAAGAGATTGCCGCGCTCCTTCGTCGCGCGTCAACTGTCTCTTTCAATCGACAATATATCACTTTGCGCTCTTAATACACAAATAGCTATTTTCACACGTTGTGCGTACCATCAGTCGTTTGTGAAACGCGGCTTAAGAGTATAGTAGCACAATAACCAATTCCTACTCTTGTTTTTTTGTAGTACAATCATTGTATTTATAAATGTTTATAAATACAATGGTACAATTTAAACAATTATTTAGTCCTCTCTAAAAATACTGTGTTACGTACACACATTGAATAAAAACAATGGTATAAATTAGTCTAAGAAAAACCATAGTATACCATACTCGCTATAAGGGCATTATTCCTTTGGATGTTTTACATCTCCCGCTCGTTTTGTAATAACTTTCATCCTCAGTAATGATTAGGCATTCGTTATATCGTGGTTGTTCAGTATTCAACAATACTCTCGTCTGATTTGATTGTGCACTCACCTCTCGAGCCACCATTTTATAAACTTTTATACCATTGAATATAAAATTAAATAATATACATACCATTTATGTTTTTTCGCTCAGATTTTAAATAAAATCGAAGAACTTTTACTTTAGTACTATTCAAAATCTGAGAAATAGATATATCTGGTGGATATTCATTGTGTTTGAAGTCTAGCAAGTCAAAATCGAAATCCTCGATGTTTCCTTTGGGTGAGAAACCGTTAGGGAAAAACACTTTTTGCGCAGCTTCAATCAGTTCTTGTTTCATCGCAGATTTCTCCACTGTCAGTTTCCTAGTTCCTCCCCCTTTTTTGCTACGTACTTGCACAATTTTGTTTCCATCTTCATGTAGCCAACCCATTTCAATATTTCTGGTCGACTTTTCTGAATTGTATTTAATTTTTTTCTTTGTGTGTACCACAGATTCCTCATCATTTTTATTTCCCCTAAATATTTGGCTTCTAATTTTTTCCAGTAGTGATTGTTTAGAAGCTTCTTGTTTCGATGTACTTGGTGCTCGCATCAAACAAAACTCTCTAACCAACTTCCTGTGCCCATAAGCTGGTAAAAATGTTTTTAGTTCTGTATCGGACATCATATTTATAACTTCTTCAGAAATCTGAACAAAAAAAAACATTTGTTAGAATAAATTTGTGGGGAGGAAGATAGTAGGTGAATGACTCTGATATTTTAAATGCTAATGCATATAGATTCAACAAGTCCCTAACTTTTTAAATGTATCCATAAGCATTAGCTTATTAATCTAATACAAACCTGTTCTGCAATAATATTTTGAACAACTTCCTCTGGCACATTATGCCGTTTCAAGAAATCTTCTAATTCCGACATTTTTTCTCAAACCACGTAAAATGCAGATCGTACAACTGAAACTAAGTTAGGTGCTTAATGTGCGTTCCAACTGAATTATGGGTTTTGTTTTGTGTTTTGTTCAATTCAGTGGCTGTTAAACATAAAATTTTGTTTCGTAAGCAAAGTTAAAGCTGTATGATTATGTCGCCACTTGGTTTGTTACTCACTAGTGGTTAAAGGAGACAGTATTGTTCAATCGCATTACTGCGACGTGTGTGAGACGAAATGTGACACACCATATGATACGATCGTCGATCGTCCTCCAACTTTAAGTTTCGACCCTATTGGTTGGTTCACGAAGATAACTTATTAGATAGCCATCTCCAACTAAACTTCAAGAAAACCAATTCGCGAATCCACCATTTGTGCTCAATACCATCACCGAACACAAAACAAAATAAAATGTAAATAGAAGTAACTAGAATTAGTATAATATTTAGGGTAGGTGTAGGTACCTACGTATGATTTTACAAACATTAAGATTAATAACTAAAATTATAGTACATTCTTCAACGAGCGTAGAATAGAAGCTATTATTCACGTGGATGAAGTTCCAAGTGAATAATAGCCATTCTAGGCAAGTAGAAGACTATACTTCCTTTACGACTATTAAAAAATTAAAAGAAATTAGTTACGTTTTTGACGTTTCAAATGGTGACTTATGCGGTTGCTAAGATACGCTCCGTCAGTTTTTTCCAAAGCGATGTGATTATTGCATATTACCGTGAATTCTGAAAAATAAAAGCATGTGATTGGCTAATCGAGCGTGATTTCTTACAAAGAAATCACGCTGTGAAGAATTTAAACTATTATTCAATGTAATATGCAGCAAGAATCAGGGCATTATTTAATAGTCGTAGAGAAAATAATTATTATTACCTACATTGCTACCTACCTGCCTACTACATACAAACAGATGGCACAAAATAAACTCAAAATGTAAGTATAACAACCGGCTCGAACGCTGGAATCTCTTGATCACGTCTCGTTGTTCAGGACGCACACACAAATGAAAAAGTCAATATAGTGAGAAAAATCTCAATATATTGAGAAAAATGCCAATATATTGAGAAAAATCTCGATATATTGAGAAAAATCTCGATATATTGAGAAACATCTCAATATATTGAGAAAAATCTCAATATATTGAGAAAAAAGTCAATATATTGAGATTTTTAAAAGAAAAAAAGTTGGTGACACCAGGAAGCTTCTGGTGTCACCAACTTTTTTTTCTTTTAAAATCTCAATATATTTGACTTTTTCTCAATATATGACATTTTTCAATAAATATCGAGATTTTTCTCAATATATAGATTTTCTCAATATCGAATTTTCTCAATATATCGAGATTTTTTTTCTTCAATATACGAGATTTTCTCATATATGACTTTTTTCTGTGTCCTTTTGTTTTAATTCCAGCTGCCGGTTGATATGATGAATGTTATTTCCGTGTAGATGTGGTTAGCGTTAGAGTGAAGTGAATTCATTTGCGTTGACGGCATTTATTATCTGTTTACTGCACTCAATTAATTAAGTGATCGTGAGCTAGTAGCTGTACTGTCGGAGCCATCCATTTTGTATATCAGCGTGAGGTATAAAATTTATGTAGAGGTACACAATATGTGCAAGCATTATGATCAATAAGTATGTCTATACAGAATGACTGAGGACAAAGCTATAAAATCTAATGTACTACTTATTTTTTGCGTTTTTTTCTATAGCGTAGGTGGGTGTTTCCTAATACATTGACTGATTTTTTAGAAGGTACAATGTGATGATGCTGAGGTTCCATGCCGTTTTATTATTTTTTTTGCTGGGATTATGTACACAGAAATATTGGCGATTTGAGCTTTTGCCATTGTTTTACTTAAAGTTTGTTCGACCCACTAAAACGAAAACTAATCTGCCTAGGACTATATAGAAAGAAGCCACTTCCTCAGAGCTACTTAGTTGTTAAATTTTATTGAACAACAACTACAAAAGTCAGGACAGCTGGGCATGTATATAATGATTATTCAATATTTTTATTATTTTAATATTTCATATTATATATGTATAGATTATTCATATATATTGTATGTATATAAATTTATTATGTCAATATTATATTATATTTTTTTATATATTTATATATTATGTTTTTGATATTTTTTTTTAATGCATATGATGGATACCGGTTGATGCCACTTAAAATGTATTCAACACGGACTCACGTAACTAGGGAAGCTGACGAATTGATAATAAATGAGCTGGAATCCATTTGGAGTCACGTTTGAAACAAGAAAAAGACTGCGCGCCGCAGGAAATATTCAAACGCGTGGACCTTAACTTCGTATGGCACGTTGATTCTTTTTATGATAAATTGAAGCCATATGGAATAGCTATAAATGGAGCTATTTGACGGATTCTCTCGGCATATTATTGTGGTTGAAGCTGGCAGAACTGCAATTACCGAAGGTAAATTAGGAGGGTACTTTTTGGAAGCCATAGAAAAATATGGAGGATGCCCAAGACCGGCTACGTTTCAGACCTTGGCCACGGGAAAATAGGTACATGAGCAATTTCCAAATATTTTCTTTAGAAACATGCCCGCAGGATAATACGGATTGTGTGTTATGGAGACCGAAGTTTTTTGTATGGGACCAGTCAGGCGAACCAACGCATAGAGTCGTGGGGGTCGATATTAAGGAAACAAAACGCTCAGTTTTGGATGAACATTTTTCAATCACTAAAAGAAGACGGTTACTTCAGTGGAACGTATTTGGACAAATCATTAATACGATTTTGTTTCATGGCTATAATACAAGTAAGTAAAGGGTGATACATTAGAACTAATTCTAATGAATTACCCGTTATAAAGTGTCAAAAGAAAAAAAAGATTCATCTAAATTCGTGAAATGAGTTATGAGGTATGATCAAGCATTCTGGGAAGGCCGTGGAAATTTTAGATGACATCTAATATGAACCAATATTAGGTAATTAATTTAACACCTCGCGCTAAATGTTAACATTAAAAATTAACTAATCTCTCTCTCTCTCTCTCTCTCTCTCTCTCCCCCCCCCCCCCCCCCCCCC